TGCTAATATTTCAGAGCGTTCCTGTGGATCTTTCTACGTGCAGCGTGAGTCCCATACCCACTTCACAGTAGATAGGAATATCCAGGACTCTTCTCCACTGAGAAGAACACTATCCCTGCTTAGAAGGCGACGAGCGCTTGCAAAAAGACTCGGTGAGGAATTTGGGTTAACCCTCAAAGACAATGATCATTCACGGAGGCTAATCGCCCTGTACCCTAAGATATGGTAGCAAAAAACGCGATAGCTCCTCGGATCTTACGTTCGAGGATCCTCCCCAAGCAATAGAGAAGAGTGGTATGAAGGCGGAGGTGGACACCGTCACAGTGTGGTACACTAACATTTGCGGTGTTAAGGAAAAATGGGGAGAGTTGGCGACGCGCACCCAAAACTCGGCGATAATAGCTATCACTGAAACTTGCATGTGGCATGAGCAGGATGTAGAGAATCCCGGCAACTATTCGGCTTATAGGCAATATAAAGTGAACGGCAGACAAGGTGGAGAAGTACTCCTGCTGGTTAAAGCCGCTTACACTCAATGGGACTCACCAATAAAACTGGCGACACCTAATATCCAAACCAAGGCCTGTATTATCCTCTTTGGAAGACGACCGTTAGGAATGCTACTTGTCTATTTCGCACCTCAGGCGAAACGCACAGAAGATATGGAAATGCCTGATACAATGCAGGAATTCCTAATTCCAAGGGATCTTAATCCTGGGTGATTTCAATCATGCGGAGCTCTGCTGGGTAGAGAGAGAGGCTCCCGTTGGGACAAAGGGAGAAAGCTTTTTAAAGTGGCTACATGAGCATGCGCTCATTCAGCACATCCTGCAGACGACAAGGTTTTGCGACCAACAGAGGCCCTCTGTTCCGGACTTAGTTATAACGCGGTGCTTATCGGATATAAGTGAGGTAGCAGTGGAGATTCCACTGGGCAAGAGTGACCCTGGGGTACTTGGGTTAGTACTACCAATGAAACACAGTAAACCGGCTGTCCCACTAAAACGGTGTTATGGCCGCATAAACGTTCCGGCCCTGCAAGAGAAAAGACCATGTCTAACCAATCTGCTGGCATTTACAGACGAATTGACTAAAGGAATAGATGCAGGTCGATAGGTGAAGGTTTGCTACCTAGATTTCAGCAAAGCTGTTTGATCCGTCAGTCATCAGATTCTGGATCTTAAAATGCACACATTGGGTATTCTACGTAAGAGAATGGATTAAACTGTCGCACATTCAAAGTGAGAGTTGGAAATAATACAACCGAAATTCAGGGAATATCGAGTGGTGTCCAACAGGGGTTGGGTTTCGATGTGGCCTGCGGTCGAGTGAAACGTTTACCGCGCGTCACGTGTTTGACCGTTGAGGCCTGCTACCACACGCGCGGACGCACGTCATGCGGACTTACCCTGTTACAAGGTCGATCCACCTCAGCGAATCAGAGGTCAGTATTGATCTCTCCTCATTGATTGGTTCGTTGACTGCTCAGCGTGACGACACTCTTTTTGGTAAGACTTGCGCCGCTTCTGTGCCTGCCTGTTTGCGTGTTGATGCACTGCTTGCTCCCTGGCTTACGGACCGGCTACGTTTGCGTTTACATACTGGAAATATAATTACTACTTAATTCACTACTTGCGTACTTATTGACTCCTACTGGATACAACATTTGGCGTCGCGGACATTAAACCCGCAAATAGCCAGTTGCTTACGTGCCCCCGTGCAATTCTTGGACGTCGCTGCTGCAAAACCGTCTGTTGAAGCATGGAAATCTTGGAAAATTACATTCATGGACTATTTGGATTTACTTTGTGTATTTTCCCCGGCGGTTCAGCTAACCGAGAATGACAGAATCAAATTTCTCCGGCACTATTTGGGTCAGGAAGCTACACAGCTGTTTGACGCACTCGATCTGAAAGTCAAATCAAGTCTAGGAGAAGTGTCTTGTGCATTAGACAAACACTGGAACATTCGTCCTAATATATTTGTTCCCAGATACAGGTTTTCTTTACTGAAGCAAGCTCCTGATGAAGACTTGTCTACGTTTATTTCCCGTTTATTGTGCGCATCATGTTCTTGTGATTACGGTTCTGTACCAGCAGACGAATTCGTGGAAGCATTACTAGTACTAATACAACAAATATAATTACTACTTAATTCACTACTTGCGTTCTTATTGACTCATATGGGATTCAACAGGCTCCTTTTTATTTTTGGTCTTCTTTAAGAATCTTAAGAGGGACCTTCAAACTCCTTGATTCATGTTGGTCGATGATGTGAAGTTATTTGCCGAATGATTGGAACAAGATCTAGATGCAGTCCGATGGTGGTCAATTGAATGGGATCAATCACTGAATCTAGGTAATGATGGGCTTTGGAACACAAGAGACCCATTTCATGATTCTTCACAGCTGACATCCTGACTTAACGTCTTCATATACACAGTACACCTCTCGAGTTTAAAAGCTCATGAAGTGGAATGGAATCCTCATGGTGATTGTCTTCTTAGACTACAGCACCCAAACAACTTACCTGACTAACTTTCGCACCTCCAGTTAACCGCCAGGCTTCTCTCTATCTGTGACACATTCTGATGCAGCAGTTGTGCTCACATTGTATTCCATTGTCTACACACACACAGTACACATCCCGAGTCGCAAACCTCGAGAAGTGGAACCAACCCCACTCGGTGAATACTTGACAAAAGTAATGTCACCTATCCATGACCTAACCTGTACCCCAATTCACTTATACCCATTTCATGATTCTTCACAGCTGACATCCTGACTTAACGTCTTCATATACACAGTACACCTCTCGAGTTTAAAAGCTCATGAAGTGGAATGGAATCCTCNCATGTTGGTCGATGATGTGAAGTTATTTGCGGAATGATTGGAACAAGACCTAGATGCAGTCCGATGGTGGTCAATTGAATGGGATCAATCACTGAATCTAGGTAATGATCGGCTATGGAACACAAGAGCCAATGATGATGGGAGAGGTGTGATGCATTTGCAGCATGTGTTTGAGGCAAAGTAGCTAGGGGTAATGATCACGAACGAATTCAAGCCATCTTTGCAATGCAAGCCTGCGGCTGAGAAAGCTCGACACGAACATTTAAGGTTGTGCGTTGTTACGAGTTGCAGAAGACCCGAGGTTTTTGTACCTTTGTACAAAACTATAGTGCCTCCTCATTTACAACCTTGCGTACAGCTATAAAGGCCTTATTTTAAACAGGACTTGAGAAAGTATAGGGCTTAGCAAGTAGAATGGTAGCAACCAGAACGGTAAGGAATATTTCCAACGACTGAGGAACCTGGACCTGATCTCTCTGACCCACAGAGGCATGCTGGGGAACATTATAGCGAAATTTAGGTATGTCAAAGGGCTTTCGGGTCTGAAGTTCGAAAACGCATTCTCGTTTTTCCTGCTAAGGGCACGAGGGGGCATGAAATTGGAATGGAAGGAAGTCATTGTAGAAGAAATCTGCGAGCTAGCTTCTTCACAAGCAGAATTATACCATTATGGAATAAATTACCTGAAGCGGTGGTCAACTGTATTAGTGTTGGTTCTTTTGAGGGAAGGCTAGGTGAATGCTAGGCAGTGATATTTCCCGAATTTGAATGTTGAAAGGAAATTGATAGGTTTTACGTTCCGAAAAATTGTAAGGGATCATGATTTTGCATACTAACATTCTGCCTTTCAGACAACACTAATGACTCCAAGATTTGGAAGCCAACAAAACCACCGACAACATAAGCAACTGGACGCGCGATTGGCGGAGCCACAATTTGTCCTGTGAGAGCATAACTGAAATGAACTGAACAGTCAGTTCAAACAGATTAGGAGATGGCCACGGCAAATCGAGCGTCCAGAGGTCCTTCGGAAGTAAGCCATGTGCTGGCCCCACCCCAAGGCAAGTATTCTATATTGTAGTTTTACACGTTATCTTCTCGTCTCATTTGTCTCCGCCTCTGCAACGGAAGAGAAAGGGAAAATTTCTTCTCCCTGTGTTCAGTCGAGGGACTTGTATTGACGATAGTTGTACGAAGACAAGGAGCATTCAACGAGGAAGTTTTCCGTTCATATTTTGTTCACAACCAAATCTGAATTCAACTGCGACGTTTTTGTGTTCTCCGGTGCACACTTTTCCGCTCAGGTGTATATATAAGCTGAGTCCTGTTGAAAACCACGCAACACTTGTGACACGCTTCCCATTTGTTACTGTATTTATTGCTCGCATTGTTTAGTCGTCACATCGGTACGTATTTGGTACTTCCTAGTACCACGATAAGCCAATAAACGTCAACGACCACCATGCGCGTTTTTCGCTATCTCGGGAAACGAGACACTAGGAGGTCGCGCGCTACGTGAGATCCGTAAGAAGATTTATCGAATGGCCGTAAACGTAGATCAGCTTAATTGGTGAGCTCGTCACGACTACTCGGTGACTCAACCACACTTTGCCTTCGCACTAATTTTCTCCCGGTTGATTTTCATTTCCGCGATATAATTACTTATCGCATTTCTACAAATGGTCGAAAAAAACAGTTGACGACAGGAAACTGTATCTATTGGCTTTCAGCCTTAATCCGTTAACTTTCATACTTAGCGACCATGAGGTGTGATTTGGCGTATTACCAATGTCGTTTTTAGCTTGTAACGTGCGAAGCCAGGATTCCAAGTACGTTTAAGCGATCGAGGCAATCCCTGGTGTCTATCAGAGTAACCATCTTTAAGCCACCAATGAAACGACAGAAAAGCGATTTATCTGGTCCGAGCGAAACAATAAAGACCTCGTCTGTATGCGTTCAATCAAATGACCCTTCGCTCGTTCTGAATAGCAAGAAACAAATCTCAGAGCAACGCGTAGCCAAAATTGTCGAGAATCAAGTCAATCCAAGAATAATCTACGGTACTATTTCGGCGTTAATCAAAAGTACATAAGGCAGTCATACTTCTGATAATGAGCCTGAATCACTATTCAGCCAAAATGTTACAAATATTCACAGAAAATTTCTGCGGTAATAAAAAGTAAATATGACAACGAGTGATTTGAATTACCTCGCATATAATTCTGGAACAATAGGAAAATTCTGCGGGCTCCAATAGATCAAGCAAAATAATCTTGAGCGTTACAGCCAAAAGGGGTTCAATATAACCGAAAGCAACGGTTGGTTCAATAATGGCGTCCAATCGAATCTTTGGTCACAATAAAATAAGAAAAAGCACTGAACCCCACTTACATATAAGAACAAAGCACTTGAATTGTGTCCAATAGATATGCTTCACCGTGAAAAAGGTAAAATAGAACGTTCAGAAGAAAAAAATCAATGACATGAAAACCACTGTCGGATAAACTGCACAATAGAATGGCGAAGAAGGATAAGGAAATGCAAGGTAATTGAAAGGAATTTCCAGTTTTTTTGACTGGTTCATCGGCCACCAAAATTCCTTCGAGGGACAATGTCATTTCAGATAGTCTCTTGTTTTGAATCCCTCTTCTTACTTACGCTCCCGAAACAATGGAGTTCACAGGACTCACAGCAGTACGCCTGCACACTCCCTAGCCTATCACCCGGCTGCTAGTCAGCTCCTTCTAATAGACACAGACGATGTACATCTCTTCTTATCTTGCCGCCAACCGTATGCACCACAGCCGTTCGCACGAGTCCATCTCCGTTCGTCTCCATAGCATCGATGATGTCCATGGGCCATTTGCCAC